TTGCGGGACACGGAAAAAAAAAAAAAAAAAAAAAAAAAAAAAAAAAAAAAATCCAAAATCTGAAATAGTCCAAAATCCAAAACTTGTTAAGTGCCAACTTGACACTCAAAGGAATGCTCATTGGAACATTTCAAATTTTGGATTTTTGAAAAAGGAATGCTCAACTGGTTAAGTATTTGCAATATTCCAAAATCTGAAAACAATCTGAAATTCTAAACACTTCCGATCCCAAGCATTTTGGATAAGGGATACTCAACCTGTATTTGAAACAAATTTCCCAATCTGTCATCCTTTAAGATTCATCTCAGGTACCATCTCCTCTTGGAACCTTCCTGGAACTCTCAGGTTACCACCATCTGTGTTCCCAGAGTACATAGGGTTTACCTCCACCACGTGGCTCTCCACACAGTACTGTAGCTGCTGGCTTACTCGTGCGCTTCCCCAAGGATGCAGTAAACACCTCGAGCCATGTCTGTCTTCTCTATTTTCCCAGCATCTTGCACAGCACCTCGCACACTTTATGCACTTAAATGTTTGAGGACCAAATGACTGAACAAATAAATCAATTCACAAATGAACTATCTCTACTCACCTTGAATAGAACTGAGTGATGGAATGCTGAAGACACTTGATGCTAGTTAATGTTCCAAAAGCAAACACAAAAAACCATTTTAAAAGTTCTTAATCAAGAGGTATTTACTTTGAATGTGATTTAAATTTTAAAAGAACAACAGAGTTCGGCTTAGTATTACCTTAAGTTTAGAAAAAATATGTATATACATATATGTATTTAGGTATGTGTATGTTTATTTCTATATCTGTTTCTATCTACCTATTATCTATCTATCTATCTATTCCCCCAACCCATCCCCCAGATCCTTCACAAGTTCCAGAACACTGGCCACAGGAAGGGGAGATTAAGATTCACGATCTGTGTGTCAGATATGAAAATAATCTGAAACCTGTTCTTAAACATGTCAAGGCTTACATCAAACCTGGGCAGAAGGTATGGAATTCCCTGCCATTTGATTTGTTTTATATGTAAAACCTTTGATGGAACCCCCTCCATTACCACCTAAGCTCTCCAGACATGCCAGCCAAGTAAGTATGCTCTAACCAGGCTCACATAACACTCCTACACAGTGCAGGTCAAATTATCTGTGTAAAATAGTGGAAGGAAAGATCAGAGACAATACATGTCCTCTAAGTCTTAATTGACATTTATTAGTCTCCCATGAAGATCAGAAAAGTCAATAATAGGCTTTTTTTTTTTTTTTTTTTTACCTTCTGACTTCTGGTACACGGTTGTACCACAACATCCCCTTGGGAACCTTTGCATTCCTGCTGTCTCTAGTCTCCAAAATGGCTCTTTTAGTTACTGTAAAAAGGACAAGTGTATGGGAAAAAATGGACTAATTCCATTTTTTGTTAGAAAGCTATCACCTCTGGGATAAAATGAAATAGTTATTTATTAGTCCAATGATATACTAAATGCAAAAATTAGGCTGTGAAGGAAAAATAACACAACCACATAGAAATACAAAGAGTTAGAAAGGACTCATTGAAGATTTGGTGAGGACTGCATGTTTTTACCTCAATAATAATAATGAATAAGGGACATCTAAAAAGAAAATGGTGACTGTAAGGTAACTATTTAAATAGAATTGTGGTTTTATCATGACATCTTGTCTAAGTTAAAAATATTTTTGCCCATTTTCTGTCCTTTGTCTGAGTGCTTTTCTCTCCAAATGACATTTGCCTCTTTAGGTGGGCATATGTGGTCGCACTGGCAGTGGGAAGTCATCCTTATCTCTGGCTTTCTTCAGAATGGTTGATATTTTTGATGGTGAGTTGACAACTAAATTGTTTAATTGGCCATGTGGTACTTTTCATTTAAAAAAAAATATCAACTTATCTAACTCTGCAGAAATAAAAAGCAAATGTTTATAAGGACTTTGTGTCCTACACATGGTTCAAGGCAGGTATCCCAAATAAAAAGCCCAGAAGTAAAGAAAGAACATAGAATTGGGGAAATCAAATGATTAACCCTAAACTCAGGTATAGAGATTGTTGCTAAAGCATCCTAAGAAACTGGTAAAATGAAGATTTGATCACTCACTTTGAATAGCAATGGATGCGATGTCATTTCAAGTGAAAAGAAGACAGGAAGGTTGCCTTGCTTCCCTAAGACTAAAAATATCTTCTTTCCGTCAAAGGAAAAATACTACAAGGGGAAAAGTAATCTGCAATTTTAATTTTGGTGCATGAATTTAACTATCATCTTCTTAATAACATGGTTTAATAATATTGAACATTTTGTGAGGGTCAACTTTTGCTGTGAAGAGCCAAGCTCTGGTTAACAATATACAAAAATATTTATTCATCCACAAAATTATTAATAATATCATACGTAAAAGCATAGACATAATTTAATCTTTTGTTTTAGATAAAATATGTCACATTATTTAGTCTATCAAGCAGTCTATAAATAGGGCAGCACATAAGCCATCTTGAATGAATGGAGATCTAGGAATGAACTTGACCACCAGCTAAGGACATCTAGCAATGAACTTGACCACAAGATAAGGAAGTGCTTACTATTATTATTTGTAATAGTTATGATAATCATTATAGTACTTTGTATTTTTATTGTACTTGACAGTTCACATTATTTAATTTAATCTACATAACAACTCTGTGAGATAAAGAGGTCGGTTTATGGTCATTATAATTTATTTAGGGTTTAGATTCAAGAACAGGGTAAGCATCAGTCACTGGGTTAGCAGCTTGCTGTTTCCATGGCTAGTAATAATACACATGATACTTTAAGGACTTTCAGTGGGATTTGCATTATAAGGCAATTACATGATTCAAAGACAGTTGACTGGCACTTTTCATTAAAAAACTAGTTGTGACTGATTATATTAGGTTAGTGTGATCTTCATGAGTCCAGAAACATGATTTCAGGCCCCATGTGAACTATCAATGATTTATTCTCTTTTTAATAGCATTAAGCCATTAAGATTTTAATGGACAATATATTATTCCCAAAAGACACAGTTTAAGCTAATCACCCTTGCCTGCTCTTGAGTCTAAAACTACCTGATAAAATGACTGCAGCTGCTATTCTGAGCCTGGCTTATTTATCTCACAGGGCAGTATTGTCTTTGTACAAAGGCGTATGATCAAATGAATCTATCACATTGAGGAATGAACACCAATACTGCACAAATCTTTATGAGTCTACATACAGTATAGGGACATTATTAAAATTTAATATCTATATCATAAAATTTATTTTCCTATTTCAATGAATTAAACTATTCAGTCAATACAGAAATAAGTGACAGACAAAAATCCTTGTCTTCAAGGAGCTTATATTCTAGTTAGGGAAGAGACAACAAAAAAGATAAGTAAATGTATATAGAATATCAGATTCTGATAAATTTTATGAAGAAAAATAAAGCAGGGAAGGAGTATAAAGGAATACTAGATGGGAGAGGACCCGTTAAGGGATAAAAGTAGTTTTGGTTTGTATGACCACATAAACTGAATAAAACCTGAAAATCCCTTTAGGAGAAATACATAAGAAAGACAAACCAGCACCAGAATGTATATGTTCTTAGAAACACATAATGATATTCTTAATATTTACATGGAAAACGTCATCTTCTGAATTTCAACAAATATTATTTTACTTGTGATTTTACCACATGCCTATAATCTCTGTTTCTCCTTTACAGGAAAGATTGTCATTGATGGGATAGACATTTCTAAATTACCACTGCACACACTACGTTCTAGGCTTTCTATCATTCTGCAGGATCCAATACTGTTCAGCGGTTCTATTAGGTAGGTGACAAGTGCAGCAAAAATCTGTGTACCTTAGGATTTACCCTTTGGGTCACAGAAGGGTTTTACTCAGAGAATTGTTTTTCAGGTAGGTGTGAAATGTCATTATCAAGACAATAAGATCACATATGCTATCCTACTATTTGGACTGGGAAACCCTAGAGTTACTAAATTAACCTAAAGAAACCAATCCCTTATGCCTCCAGGAGGAAAGCTCTTTCAGTTTGATTCTATAAAAGCTGCTTTTCCCTCTGTACTTGGGAGCAGTGATGCTTGACAGACATTTCTGAGGTGTTCTGCCCTACATCTATCCTGCCTAACTCGTGTGTCTGGCCTGGCCTCAGCAGATATTCTGAGTTTGGTTAATCTCGCCACCTATTCCCCACCCCTCACAACTTTACTTTCAGCCAAAATTGCTTTGGAGAAGCTGCTACTGTCTGCTCCTCCATGCTTGGTGTGTGGTTTCCCACCAAAAAAAAAAAAAAAAAGAAACAAAGAAAGAAAAGAAAAAGGAAGTATCTGCTGCCGGGCGCTTAAAATATACTGTCTGATTAAATTGACAAAGCATTGGCCGGCCCGGTGGCGCACTGCTACAGTGCGCCGCTTGAGAGCACGGCGGCGCTCCCGCTGAGGGTTTGGATCCCACATACCGACGGGTTCCCGCTCACTGGCTGAGCGAGGTGCGGGTGTGACACTGAAGGTTGCGATCCCGTTGCCGGTCCCGGTCCAGTATGGGCGCGACACTGAGGGTTGCGATCCATTGCTGGACACAAAAAAGGACAAAAAGGAAAAATAAATAAATAAATAAAAATAAATTGACAAAGCATTGCTCTAGTATACATATTATTATCCCCATTTTACAGATGAGGATTTTGAAACTCGAAGAAGGTGTGACTTGCCCAAGTTCATAGTAAGTGGTAGAACTGTGATTCCAACTGCAGTTTGTCTGATTCCAAAGTCCACCTTGGCATCATCCACCAGATCTCGTCTGTCATTTCATCCATCTGGTTCTCTCTTGCTCCCCTCCACCATCCACCTAATTACAAAGAAGTGTTTGCCACCTCCTTTTAATAATTACTCTTTATCTTGAAGAGAAAATGTATGTAAGATTGCTCAATATTCGTCTGTAAAATTACTTTAATTAAGAGTTCTGGTTGTAGCAGTTATTTTGCAATAGGATAGCAAACTTATATTTCCAAGTATATTTATTATGAATCCTGCTATTGTGGTTGGTGTAGCACAGGTTCACAAAAATAGCATTATGTGTTCCCATATGGGTTATGTATTTAGCAACAGTTCTGCAGGAATATGTTGCTAGATATTATTCTGGTTATGCTAGGAATAATAAGGATTGGATGGATCCAAGTAACAAAATTGATTGTATCATATCATGTATATAAACTTACCTAATGATTCCATCAAAGCCATATTTGATAACATTAAGGTCATTCATTCATTCATTCATTTATCAAGCACGAATTCACTGCTTGCTGTCCTGAGCACTGTTCTAGGTGCTGAATATACAGTGGTAACCAAAACAAATGGAACTTACATTTTAAGGAAAGAAAAGCAATAAGCAAATATATATAAAAGTGTTTATCTATTGACTAATTTTTTTTATTATTGTGTAATTTTTATTTTTTGATTAATTAACTGATTTTTTCCTACAGATTTAATTTAGATCCAGAGTGCAAATGCACAGATGACAGACTATGGGAGGCTCTAGAAATTGCTCAATTGAAGAATATGGTCAAATCTCTACCAGGAGGTCTAGGTATATTTTCTAAATAATACATTTATTTCCTCACACTTGCAATTATTTCTGTATCTCTATCTACATTTTATGCTGGATTCACACAATTCTAGTATTAAATTTTTTGTATTTAAAATAATCTCCTAAAGGTCATTAGGACATTTCAAAATCTAATGATTTTGCATGGGGCGCAAAAGGATGAACCTTAGCACAAATTCTGTTCTATGTGAGTCCTCCAAAATATTCCAATTAGTACATCTGTGTCTACAGTCTTCTTACCATTGGTTGGTACAAATCACTGCAATCAGAATGTTTCCTTGTGGTCATTCCTGCTCAGGTGACCTAGACAATCACTTACTCTCATGAAATGGACAAGAGGACAGCAGAGGCTGTTAGTTTTAAGAGTCACTGGCACCACTTAGGAGAAGGAAACTTCTTCATGTTTTTAGCCATTTTCTTTGCTGCCCGGGGGTATATTGCTTTTGTTTGTAATTTTCGTCTCATTTGAAGACATTATTTGTATTACCTTGTTGCAGTAATCAGTTTCAGCCACTTGTGTAAGGAACAAAACACGTACTCAAACAATCACTGATAGAAATTCAGTCCCAGAGACAATTAAATTCCTGACAAATAAATGATGACAAAATGAAAGAACAACATGATCAGTGAAACAAGAGAGTTAATATTGTCTTTAATTCATAAAAATGAACATCTATAGTTTTAGACTTTTGCTTCCTTAAAATCTGAATTCAATTAAGAAAGCAATAAGAAAGATAATAGTTTGTTGATATTCTAATTTTAATACACAATATGTAATTGCCAAATTGATTACGGTATTGTCTTTAATTCATAAAAATGAGCATCTATAGTTTTAGACTTTTGCTTCCTTAAAATCTGAATTCAATTAAGAAAGCAATAAGAAAGATAATAGTTTGTTGATATTCTAATTTTAATACACAATATGTAATTGCCAAATTGATTACGGTGTTTGGCATCTAGTTTTTTTAAAAATCGATCTACAAAATTAAAGAGTGTTTGTTAGTTTATTTGGAAAGGAGGACTTACTCAAAAACAATACATTTTATGATTTTAGTTAAGTCCCAAGGAGAAGGCATGCCACAAACAAAAATTAAGATAGTGTGTCTTTAAGGAAAGTTTTATTAAACTTGACAGTGTCAGATTGTGGGAGTGATTTCAGAACTCTGGATGAACTCTCCTGTAATAATTTTTGATGTCTTCTGTGGAAAACCCGCAAGTCTACTTGAGAAATTGATACATGCTTTTAGACCTTTCTCTCTTGGCATTTATAGACCTGTTAAGTCCCAAGGAGAAGGCATGCCACAAACAAAAATTAAGATAGTGTGTCTTTAAGGAAAGTTTTATTAAACTTGACAGTGTCAGACTGTGGGAGTGATTTCAGAACTCTGGATGAACTCTCCTGTAATAATTTTTGATGTCTTCTGTGGAAAACCCACAAGTCTACTTGAGAAATTGATACATGCTTTTAGACCTTTCTCTCTTGGCATTTATAGACCTGTCCCCCTGCCATTAATAGTTGAATAGACAGGCAATTACATCTTTATAGTCCTTTTCACTTTTGGGCCTGGATTTCAGTTTTTCCTTTTTCTGACTCAAAGTATTTTGTTAGTTTTGAATACCTGCTGTTTGTGGTATAGCTCAAGTGAGAGTTTTGATGCCCATTTGATTTCATTTTCCTCTTTGGGTTCCCTGGCAATAAACCTACCAGTCACTTCAGCTGATCACTGTGTTTTATTGGCATTTTAAAGACACGTACAGAAGCCATCATGAGCCTGCTGCTGGAAGCTGCTCCCTCTTGCAACTTCCATAGAATGCTCAAGAGTGAGAGTGCTCAGAAGGGATTGGACATGGTAGAACTTTGCTCTTGGGGTAAAATATTATGGCAAGAAAAAGTAGTCCAGAGAAAATTTACACTTTGTGTATTTTTTGACAGGAAAACATTTTGCAGAAAGTGGTAATGACAGCCTTTGCAGACCGCACCGTTGTTACAATAGCTGTAAGTATGGGAGGTGGCGTTGATTTACTCCTCTGGTTTTTGTTCTAAGATTCTACAGTCGTTATGTTTGAGCAATTAAAATATACTTATGTTGGATTATGTATTTCTCTGCTTATGTGTCTGTATCTGCACAAAAAAGAAAAAGAGTACAGCTGTATTTTGAAAGCATTCTTCTTTTCCAAACTGTCTGCTCTACCTAACTCCCCTAAGTTACAACGATGGAGCATCTTAAATCTAAGGATTCCAGCAGGTCATTGCCTGTGCTTGTTTCCCAGATGCTGATGGTCGTTCATGGGGAATAATTCTCTTTTCTATAATCTGATGGTCTGATGAGCAGTTTCAGAAGCAAACTTCCCAAATTTGATTGACAATTCTGTTACTACTTATACTTAATTTCCATGTTTCTATTTATTTACTGGTTTACAAAAAGAAGGCGATGAGATACCTCACAGCAGGGCAGGCAGTTTCTCTGTTTTAGACAGCACCAATCAAAGAGAATAAAATTCATGTTGTCGCTTACTTAAAGTAGGCCAGAGTCTTCTGTCTTTCCCTCTTCGTGGACGGTAAGATTCTTGGTCACATTTAGGCTTACTGCTTAACAAAAACTATTTTTAAATGAGTTCCTTGGACACTTTCCCTTCTGCTGATTCTCTTCTCTTCTCTCCATTTTTCTCTCCAGCACCGTGTCTCTTCCATTATGGATGCAGGCCTTGTTTTAGTCTTTTCTGAGGGTATTTTAGTGGAGTGTGATACTGTTCCAAACTTGCTCGCCCACAAGAATGGCCTCTTTTCCACTTTGGTGATGACCAACAAGTAGACCGTCATGATCTACTCTGCCAAGTGTCCCATCCTCTGGTAGTTATCTTAGTGGTATTTCCTCAGTAAGGCAAGGCTCATGCTGTGATTAAAGGGGAGGGCTGGGGTGAGAGAACTAACTATAGGATATTGTTACACAAATCAGCACAACCAAGGCCTTCAGTTATGCTCAGTACTGAATGAGGCACTTGTATGTGTTTTCAAATATGTGCACCCCAGGGAGTGTATTTACAAAACCTGAAAACCAGGTTTACCTCTGTCCTCAGGACTGATTTCACTGTTTCTTGGGCATATTTTGTTGGCATCCTTAAAAATACCATACGCATTTCTTACCTGCCCTGAAGAATGCATTGCTTAATTTAAATAATTACATTTAACCGTTGAGCAGTGGGACTTGTATATGCAGTGCTTGCTACGCTTCCATTTTTGTGAATGATGCATGGGAGAAACAGCACCCTTTGCAGTGCACCTTTTTTTCAAAATAGCAGGAAATGACTCCCCGTCTGATCCCCTTTCTGCAAACTGTGCCTAAATCAATAAAAACCTACTTTCTCTCATTTTCCCAATGAACTCTATGGTTCCTCTGGCCTGGAAGAGAGTCACTGATTAACTCATCCACACCAAGGTGTGAATGATTTAAGGAGTGAAAGAATTGGCCGACTTGAAACACAGTCCTCTAATATTTTCAAAGATTCTGTCACTGGAGAAAGTAGGGACATATTTGGGGAGAGAAAGAACTTCCTGTTGCCCCTAAACGGTTGGGGGGAGAAGGAGAAAGCAGACCCTTGCCTACTCAAAAGACTGATTTTCTTTTCCTCTGCATGAAGCACGGTGGTGTTAGGTGGTCCCATTTATCTACATCTGGAAGATTAGTTGAGCGTAATTTGTATTTCTAACCAAAAAGTTAAATTCTCTTAGCTGATTTCTGTTCTCCTGTATTCACTGAATACTTTCCCACAGATTTAAGTATTTTTCACCCATTCATTCCAAGACCACTAGTGGGAAAGTGGCCACTAGGCTACCTGGAGTTCCCCCCCCACACACACAAAGATGTCAGGGAGGAAGAATCACTGTAGGAGTCTTCTAAGGACTCCTCACAACAGGCTCGTAACAGAGACAGCACCAGCACACTCGTGCCAGACTTCTGGGAGACTCATCCTCAGCTCTTCTAAGAGTAACTATTTTTCCTTCCTGCCTAAAGTTGTTCTCTTAACTTTGGTTAACTGCCACTGAAAATTGTGGAATATCTTAAAAAGATAACTGTTTCCAACTTCTAAAAAGAATCCCTCACACCAAAATAGTCCATGGTATTTATTTATGAAAGTAGTTTAGTCTTCACTCTTGATTAGATTAATTTCTCTGGCACACTTTGGAAATTTCATCAACACTATTACATTGACACCACACTTTGTCAAGAAAAAATTAATTTGGATTAACGAAATAAACACCAATTATACTTGTATTTATTTCTGTTGACCTAGATTTTTCAATGTTTTAATTTTTTTCTAATAAATGTTATTTTAGAATATCAAGGCAATGTTTATAATATTATATGTATAGACTTAGAAGCCAAATTCTTTTTTTTAAACATCTATGATATGGTTATTGAAGAACTAATATTTTTCTGGAAGGAAAATGCACAGCAGATATTACACAGTTCATTAAGTTTAAGTTTGTTTTTTATTTTTTTCTAGATTCATGGGTGTGAAAATGGCTCTGGTTCTTTTCAAAGATAAATAAACATTACCCTCCGAGTTTTGATAATCCCTCAACATATGTCATTTGTTGCCAATATTCAGTGAATGATAGGTTTGTCCATGTGTGTTGAAAATAGTGGCACACGTTCTCAGCTGGCATCATCATCACACTTGATACACGTGTTTCTTTTCACCAGTAGTCGTGAGTCACTGACTGGTTGCTTTTCTGAAAGCATTAACATTGAGTCTACCACATCTTCATGGCCCAGAGCAAAATACAGGCCTTTGCCTCTGGGATGGCTTTAGGTTGGACTTTCGATTGTTAGGAAAAGACACTTCGGAAGACTGTGTATCAGCTAAACAGATGGTATTTCTAGGTTTGGAACTCTGGACAGGAGTTCCAAAAAGGAAGCCCCATCTGCACACTAATGTTTTGACTTGCACGGTCCAGATCCGTTATGGTAGCCCCTAGCCACATGTTCCTACTGAGCACTTGAAATATGGGTAGTCGGAATTGAGAAGAATACATACTGAATTTCAAAGACTTAGTACTAACAGAAGAATGTAAAAGGTCTCATGAATAATTTTTATATTGATGATATGTCAAAATGGTAACATTTTGGATAGATTGGGTTAAAATATATTATTAAAATTGCTTTCATCTGTTTATTTCTTCTTTTGAAATGCAGCTCCTAGAAAATTAAAAATTCCATGTGGATCACATTTGTGGTTTACATTGTATTTCTATTGGTCTTAGCAAGAGTAGAGATAGGGCTCACCACACAGACTTTTCTAAATTATAAAAATAAAAAATAACAGTAGTTGATATTTATTTATTCTTATGTATCAGACAAGGTGTTGAATTTTTTACCTGAATCATCTCATTTGATCCTATCATTCTCTGAGGCAGCTACTATTATTACCATAATCTTACAGATATGAAACTGGAAGAATTGAGAAGAATACGTACTGAATTTCAAAGACTTAGTACTAACAGAAGAATGCAAAAGATCTCATGAATAATTTTTATATTGATGATATGTCAAAATGGTAACATTTTGGATAGATTGGGTTAAAATATATTATTAAAATTGCTTTCATCTGTTTATTTCTTCTTTTGAAATGCAGCTCCTAGAAAATTAAAAATTCCATGTGGATCACATTTGTGGTTTACATTGTATTTCTATTGGTCTTAGCAAGAGTAGAGATAGGGCTCACCACACAGACTTTTCTAAATTATAAAAATAAAAAATAACAGTAGTTGATATTTATTTATTCTTATGTATCAGACAAGGTGTTGAATTTTTTACCTGGATCATCTCATTTGATCCTATCATTCTCTGAGGCAGCTACTATTATTACCATAATCTTACAGATATGAAACTGGAAGCGTACAAAGTTAGTTATGTTGCTCAAGACTGCACAGCTAACAGGTGGTAAAACCAAAATACAGGATCCCAGTCTAGCATCAGAGCCTGCACGCTTAACCTGAACACTAACAATGGCAGGTGAACGTTCCTCTAAGATATCAGATACTCTCCATGAAGCAGTTAGACAACAGGATGGAAATAGCTCACATTTTGAAGTTTATAAACCTTTTTTGACACTGGTTCTTCTACATATTATCTAAGTGATCTCCTGATTTTACTTTATCTCTATGAACCCCAATTGTCTCCCCTACAAAGTGGAGAGTAATAACACCTACAGCTGAGGACTGTTCTGATGATTCTTAAGTATGTGTGTGAAGCACTTAATGTAGAGCATATGCTCAGTACGTGGGAGCTTTTATTGTTATTAATTACTAACACCAAAGCCTCTCTCCAAAGTGCATTATGTGGAAAGAGAGAACGAGTGAGTGGCAATGATCTCCAAAGACTAAGAGACTGCACGTCTAAAGGCCTGGCTAATCCATTCTAATTCTGCATGCCAGAATAGACTTGTCCTTCTAAATTATAAAAATAAAAAATAACAGTAGTTGATATTTATTTATTCTTATGTGTCAGACAAGGTGTTGAACTTTTTTACCTGGATCGTCTCATTTGATCCTATCATTCTCTGAGGCAGCTACTATTATTACCATAATCTTACAGATATGAAACTGGAAGCGTACAAAGTTAGTTATGTTGCTCAAGACTGCACAGCTAACAGGTGGTAAAACCAAAATACAGGATCCCAGTCTAGCATCAGAGCCTGCACGCTTAACCTGAACACTAACAATGGCAGGTGAACGTTCCTCTAAGATATCAGATACTCTCCATGAAGCAGTTAGACAACAAGATGGAAATAGCTCACATTTTGAAGTTCGTAAACCTTTTTTGACGCTGGTTCTTCTACATATTATCTAAGTGATCTCCTGATTTTACTTTATCTCTATGAACCCCAATTGTCTCCCCTACAAAGTGGAGAGTAATAACACCTACAGCTGAGGACTGTTCTGATGATTCTTAAGTATGTGTGTGAAGCACTTAATGTAGAGCATATGCTCAGTACGTGGGAGCTTTTATTGTTATTAATTACTAACACCAAAGCCTCTCTCCAAAGTGCATTATGTGGAAAGAGAGAACGAGTGAGTGGCAATGATCTCCAAAGACTAAAAGACTGCACGTCTAAAGGCCTGGCTAATCCATTCTAATTCTGCATGCCAGAATAGACTTGTCCGTATTGTCTTCCCAGAATTGATCCACTTTCCAGGGCTCTTCAAATTGTGTATTAGCCCAAGGAATTAGTTGACTCTACATAAGAGGTAATTGTTGTTGAGACTAAAATGTAATCTGACTGTTCACGATGGCCCCTCTTAGCATTTAATAATTTGACAAACATTTATGAGCCTACTTATACTTAAGCCTCCATGAAAATGATGAAACTGATATATTATCTACACTCAAGTTAGTATAGCCCATTTAAAACCCAGCCATACTGGCTGGTATTTTAAAATGTGTAAATAAATGACAATTTAAGTAGGGAAAAAAAGGGGGGCTGTGCTTTCTGCATCTCCTAAAACCCCAAGATAAATAAATGTCCCTGCATAATCCATGAAATATACATATTCCATTGTTTTGGTTTGTGTCCTGAAATTTGTAACATATACATGTTTTCTTTTCACTTTTAGCATCGGGTTCACACTATTTTGACGGCAGACCTGGTTATTGTGATGAAGCGAGGAAATATTTTAGAATATGACACCCCAGAAAGCCTCTTGGCTCGGGAAGATGGAATATTTGCTTCTTTTGTTCGCGCAGACATGTGAAGGGGCATCTTAAAAATGATACATGTATTTAAAATAATGCAGTTTTAACCTACTTATTGGATCATCAGCTTGAACTTTGTAAAGTGGCAGCTTAAACTTTACAGATTTTTGCACAAGAAAAGAAGTTTATATTTCTTTTTTCTGTTTTTAAAGGTATTACTGCTGATATGTTCATTACTGATTTTCTAATGATTAAGCCACTTTACCTTTAAGAATAGCAGTTGTATTAAAACATGTTAGCTACTTTAAGTAGTAAATCAACAGCTTATGTTTTCTCATAACTTTAAGTCTGGTAAACTTCTCTCAGGCATAGAAGTTGCAATGAGTAGTCAGCATTATTACACTCTTATTTGTAAGAATATATTTTTCTTGTTGGAGTCTCCAAATGCCGTCGGAAGAGAATAAAAGAAGGCTGTGTTTTCTAATGAAACACTCAAATTCATTATCTACTTTATGAGAATATTTTCTGTATTCACTCATAACTTTAAGTCTGGTAAACTTCTCTCAGGCATAGAAGTTTCAATGAGTAGTCAGCATTATTACACTCTTATTTATAAGAATATATTTTTCTTGTTGGAGTCTCCAAATGCCGTCGGAAGAGAATAAAAGAAGGATGTGTTTTCTAATGAAACACTCAAATTCATTATCTACTTTATGAGAATATTTTCTGTATTCATTAACACTGATTTTTTTTTAGCAGTCTTTTTTTCCCCCTCTAAATTGTTTCCCATAACCAAGAAGTTATCACACTTATAGTGGTTCTATAAAGCCAAAGCCTCAACTAGAAAAAAATCATGAAAAAAGTTTGGATATTTGGAAAATTGTATTCACATTTCCATTTTTCCCTGTTCAGTAAGGAGGGAATTCTTAAGATATCAGGCATAATGTGCCTTTTCCAGATGGTAGTTCAAAGAGTGATCAGGTTCAATCCTTCAGTGGTAGGCCAGCTAAGCTTTCTATAGTTGAATTCATCAGTAGCTGTGGTTATGATCCCGAGCTCTAATGTGCTACATTATTCAAGATTCAAAGGAGCATAGGCAAATGGCCTTGTCTGTCACAGATTTATATATGAAACCATAGCCATAACCATATACTAAGTAACGGCAAGTGAACATTCCTCTAAGGTATCAGATTCTCCCTATGAAATAGTTCAATGGCAGGGTGGAAATATCCACACTTTGAAGTTTTATATATAAAACAAGTGTCTATTTCTACTTGGAAAAGTTTATGTCTTTTAGACATTTATGCCCAATTCTGCCACACATGTATTCATTTGCTCCTGCTCTAATTTTAATTCGCATGTAAAAAGTATGTTTAAAGTGTAATTCTAATGTACACGTAAAGAGTGTATCAAAAATTATTGAATATTAGTTTTAGGTTTTGATTGAATGAAAATTAATAAATTCAGAAATACTAAAAGTTTCCTTCACTGTCATGCTAGCAACCACAATTTCTACAATTCTGTTACCATCCAGTATAACTATCATTCACTGATTTTCATATGAGGATCCACATGCATTGTAAGATTTTGAAGACATAATGATGGAAAAAGAGAAATTATGCTGCCTCCCTGTATTTCCTGTATTCAGTTTATTACATGGTGTATTCACTCTTGTAAAATCTGTAATGCTTGTGTATCCAGATTATATGATTGTGCCTTCATCTAAATATAGAATCCTACAGTTTAGCAAAAATATACGTTCCACAAGGATGGACAAAAATGTCCATGCTATTTAGTTAAATTGTCACCCTTTGTGTTGTATATATAAAACTTCATTGGAAGAAAATAATATCCCTGTTTCCTCAAAGCCTTATGGAACAGAATTGGTACCCATTATTTTGATCTTCAAAATATTTTCTAGAAGTTCAATCAATCCCCTAAAATACTGCTGATATAAAAATGTTTTATAGAACTGAATATATGTGACTCTTGCTACCAAGTTATACCTCATTTTCACAGAGAAATGGGTTTTTACCCATAGAAATAATTCCTTAAGATATTTTTAAATTATACTGCTATACAGCCAATGTCAGTAGAGGCTTATCTAATCCCACTAAACTGAGAATCTTATTTACCATTCCTACACCCAGCTTGTTGCTGTTTCCCTCATAACATTTAGTTACATAAGTTAAGTACATTTTTAATTGTTTACAAGACTAAATTAACCGAATAAAGTCAAGTATTACGTTTTTGATCAAATAACCATTTATTATGGTATATATATTATCTATTGAATTAGGAATAATTCATCTTGAAATATTTTTTTGCTATGTAAGTACATATCTATAAAAGACCAGCTTAACCAAATCAAATTTTATGTTTACAAAGTCTACATTTCATTAAACAAACCAGTTTTACAGATTTTAATTCCCTTATATTTATAAAAAGCAATAAATGCATAAAGCTTTATATTAAAATAATAGAGTTACTGATGTCATTGAGAGAGAAAAGGTATTTCTTTTAAAGGATTGTGCACATGCTAGTTTTATGCTATTACTTATGATCCATTTAAAAGTTTACTTTGCTCTAGATTAAATACCAGAAGACCCTTCTAAGTAACTGGTATTTGAGATCTGGGACCATGTTTTGTTTATCTTTGTGCCCTTGATACTTAATACAAGTGCCTAGCCCACAGTAGGTCCTAATAAATATAGTTGATTGATCTGTTTAGTTTTACCACTGGACATGGGTTATTCACCTCACTTTTCTGTGTTGTGTTTATTCTACTATTTATTCTACGATATATGAAATGTATTTATTCTCTACAATAAATGTGTTTGTTCTCTGCAATATATAAAAACATAGCTTGCTATTCTATAATAAATTACTCTCCTTGTTTGCTCAATTAAAGAGGGTGATTATTCTTTCACTTATAATTCCATTGGGAATTCAGGACTGATAAGAGATGTAAATCAACACCAGCTGTGAGATAAAACCTGGGCCTGCTTTGACAATTTTGTTTCACATTTGCCAGAGGAATGCACTTCATTAAGTGGAACAGCTATATTAATACATTTTTTACATCTCCAAGTAAATAGCTGGATATCTGGCTTTCCCCCAAGGTTTATTGATTTGTTCTTACGGTTGTCTTCCAACATATCTTTTATCACTTATTTTGTAACACATTCTTTGGAGTTCTGTGATTTATAGTACTATGCCAATTAATTCCCTTATTGACCCATTATCAAAAGTTAAATGCAACCTTCTAATCTTAGCTTTTTAGCATAAGAAACAATAGCCAAGGGGATGTTTCCAGTAACTTATGTTTATTTTTTTCTTAGTAACTATCATTTACAACAGGTTCTCTCAAGCTTAATAGGATTCACCAGGAGCAAACTCTCCAGTGGAAGAGCTTGTATCTATATTTATAGCAAGTGCCTCCAGATGAGATTCATAATTAACCAAGTTTGGGAATCACTGCTCTGTCATCACACTAGTTTCTCTTTGCTATGTGTAACACAGAGCCATTAAATACTAAAGGTGATTTTCACATTTTCTGTCTCTGCTGATGTTACCTGATCCTGAATTGCTAAAACAAGCCTATCAGTGTCACTGAATGAGTTGTTTTAGCTCATAAGAAAGGAAATATTGTTTAATGAGCTGTATCTTAGCTGTTTAAGGAGAAGATATCAACAGAGACTCAGAACACTGTTTTCTTTTGTTTTGTGGTTTAATCAGCAATAAGTGATACAAGGATAAAATTTCTGGGCCGGCCTGGTGGCGCACTGGATAGTGCGCCGCTTGGGAAGCGCGGTGGCGCTCCCGCGGAGAAGATATCAACAGAGACTCAGAACACTGTTTTCTTTTGTTTTGTGGTTTAATCAGCAATAAGTGATACAAGGATAAAATTTCTTCGCAAAGATGTAAAACGTTGTGGTTTGGGTTTTTTTTGTTTGTTTGTTTAGTTTTTTGTTGTTGTTGTTGTTTTCCCCCAACATCTGAATTAGCTGTTGAATCATTTGCACATTATTCTGCTGAGTTTGAGTTCATATTTCTAAACGTAAACAGTATGCAAATGTGACCAGTTTGGGGACGTTTCACTATTGATGTTCCACAATATGGAAGGAAGATAAATTATCTGTGATTATTATTCTCCATTCCACCTTCATGTTTTTTCTGCAGGCGTCATCATCACTGATATGTGAAGGTTGGTATATTCACCCTACACATCTAATACATGGGATTTAAATGATTTCTTTTTCTATGGGCAGTAGCAAATTGCCCTTAGCCATTCATGCTATGACCACCCCTATTTCTAAAATGACAAAGATCAAGGGAGCCATATCTGGCTAAATAAGTTAATCAGCTATAAGAGGAATGCACAGTGTGACTTAGTGCCACCAACCACCACAGACACGCTATTCAATTACACTACAAGTTAATGATGAACAGCTTTTTAGACCAT